AGAGAGAAAGATATATACATATATATAGCCGACCTAACCTGTCACCTGTCGAAAGAAAACGCGTGCCTAAATAATCAATATTGGATTAAACTGGTTGAAAGCATAAAATGAAAAAAAAAAAAAAGAAAATAGTCTCGGTTGATCGATTATAAAGTGAAAATATATAGTGAAAAGTATCAACACTTGTGCAAATTATAAGGTATGTGTATTTTATTTCAGACTATGTGATTTATATAATGTGCCGTATTTCCAATGTAGCCTCAAAAATAATTTTTTTTCAAATAAAATAGGTGAATAAAAAATGCCTAATAGTTGCTGTGCCGGTTATTGTACTAATACAAATATAAAAGGATATCAGATGTGTCGATTTCCAAAAGATTCGGAAAGAAAAAGTATATGGATCCAGAATATGAATCGTACAGATTGGATTCCAATTTCAGATGCAAGATTATGTGATGTAAGTTATAATCAAAAGCTAACTGTTTTAATTTTTGCTGAAAGTTTTGTAAAAATATTATAATACTTAGAAAAAATATTCAAAACCGTTTAAATATACTAAATCGAGACTGAGAAAAATATAATTGCACATTCAAAAAGTTATAAAAATTATATTTTCTGTGCAGGTCCATTTTGCCCCTCATATGTGGATGACGAGAAAAGATGGCTCACGCAGATTAAAATCTGATGCAGTTCCAACAATATTCGGTGAGAATTTGCCAACGTCTATAACAAGGCAGAACACAATGACCGAAGCTGCAGAGACTGATATGTTTGAAAATGCTGCAAATGAAATGGAAGAAGAAATGGAAATCAATGAAGAAGATATCACCGAAGAAGAAAAAAATGATGTATTAAGCATTCTATCTAATAGAACAGAAACTTCAGATCCATGTGTTTTACAACGTTTGGAGAAATTGGAAATGCTTTGGAAAAAAAGTGAACGCTTAAGATTGCGAATGAAGAAAAAATTGCAACAGGCGAAAAGAAGAATCAAGAGGCTTCAAACTGAAGTACGTAATAATAAAATAAGTTCAAATATAAATAAGATTTTCAATGAAGATCAATTATGCTTGTTGTCTGCAAAGTACAAAAAAATACCAAAATGGTGCAATAGTACGTTGATTAAAGCTTACAGATTAAAATTTGCATGTGGTACTGTGGGTTACGAGGAATTGTTAAAAGCAAATTTTCCTCTTCCTTCTCTTCGCACCTTAAGTAGGAAGTTAGAAAATCTTAAATTCAAAAGTGGGATAGTTAACGAAGTTTTTGAATTTATGAAAATAAAAATTTCTGGGTTCGAGAAAGAAATTGATAAAGATTGCACATTAGTGCTCGATGAGATGAGTATTTCCGCTGGTACTTTTTATGATGCATCAACAAACACGATCATTGGCAACGTTACATTGCCAGATCATGATACAAGTATTATTGCTACCCATAGCCACATGGAAAAGGTAGGAAAAGTGGGGGTAACTAGCAGTCCAGAGGTATATAGTCAAAGGTTGTAAGCATCCTTGCTCTAACGATAAGCTTTTGTACTTTTATTCGGACGTACCTCATGCTTTAAAAAATATTAAAACTGGCTTTATAAATAATGAAACAATAACTATTCCATATTATTTTGTTAATAAGTATACATTACCTACAAACGTAGCTAATTGTAATCATTTAAATGCTGTTCTTATTGCTGATGAAAACTGTGATATAAAGTTAGCTCCTAAATTGCGATCTGAATATTTATCTGAAAAAAATCATTTTCAAAAAATGAAAGTTAATACTGCTACAACAGTATTCAGCGATCAAGTAGGAACAGCTCTTGAATTGTTAGCAAATTCAAACGATGCCATGATAACAACTGCTTGGTTTTTAAAATTTATTGCTCGATGGTTTCGAACAATGAGCGGAAGAAATTTGTATTTAGCTTTAGGATTGAGTTGCATGGAAAAATTTGAAGAAACAATTGCTTTTCTAAATGAAGTAATTGAACTTTTCAAAGGCTTAAAAGTAGGAAAAAATGGAAATTGGAAGCCTTTTCAAACAGCTGTGATAATGTCTACAACGACCGTCCTTCAATTAACTTTAGTTTTACTGCGTGTCAGAGGTTTTAATTATTTTTTACCTTCGCGTCTTTCGCAAGACTGCATCGAGAACTTATTTTCTGTAATAAGATTAAAAAACGTAATTCCAAATGCATTTCAATTTAAAAACAATTTAAAATTGATAAGTATTTCTCAGTTCATGAAGAGTATATCCAATAGTAATTACGAAACTGATGATAGAGAATTTTTTTCAGAATTTTTAGATATTTTAATAGAAAACAGCAAGTCTGTAAGCAAATCTGAACATGTACAAGTATTTAATATAATACCAGAAAAAATTGTTTTCAGTAAATTAGAATTAAACAAAATTTATTATGTTGCCGGATATTTAATGGCGAATATTATGAAAAATCAAATTGTATGCAATACTTGTATAAATGCAACAGGATCAATACAGTCAAATAATAATTATTACAGTGCCTTAACACGTCTCAGATGTAAAAATGTAAATACTTTATTTTTTGTAAATCCTGTCACGTTCAACTTTTTTCTTCAAATGGCAAAAATATTTAAGACTTTTTATCCTCGTATTCGAATACAAAAAAATGTAAATCTAAAACAATTCTTTATAAAATTATATAACCAAATTACTTTTTCTCTACCTGCATGTCATAATTTGAAAGATAAAATTATTAAAAGGTTTATAGCATTTAAATTGAAAAATTGTTCGCGTGCGATAACTCCATGTAATAAAAATGCAATACGTGCGAGCAAAAGCATGGTAATGCATACATATATAAAATAAAATAAATTAATTTCCTTATAAAAAAGTTTAACATTCCTCTTTTTTATTCTTATTTCCTATTATTCGTATGCTACTTTCACTTTCATTGCTTGCGTACTTTCTCTGATAAATATTTCTGATAAATATATATTGTTTAGATTTATATCTGTAATGAATCTTTATTTTAGATCGTACCATCGTCTGATATACATCCAGCTATCAAAGGAATTGAATTTCATCCTTACACATAGGATATGAGACATAATTGCAATTAAAATGACAAATTTTGGCCTTG